GTGAGTTCTAGGCCAGTGAGAGACCCTGTCTCAGAAGAGAAGGTTGACAGTTCCTGGGGAACAGCATCTGAGGTTGTCCTCTGACCTCCACATGCATACCTGTACATATCTGTGCACCTGCATATATATACACATATACATACACACACATATACTACACAAAACATAAAATAAAATGAAATATAGAAAAACAAAACAAAGGCTGCCCCCCTCCCAAAATGACCTGGCAGGTGAAAGGCAGGCCTGTGACCAAGTGGGCTGGGATTCTTCACCTAGAAGACCTTGATATTGTCCCCTCGAACCTGTTCAAAGGAAATCTGAGTGTATACCTCTGTAAAGAAGACATGACAGACAGACAGACATGATACATGGACTGATCCTGTCAAGCAGGCTCCATTTTCTGGATTAGCTACAAGAATTATACTTTCTTTCCATTAAATAGTCTTCTTTTTAAAACTTAAGTATTTTATTTTTTTATTTTATGTGTATGAGTGTATTGCCTGCATGTGTAAGTGCACCAGTGTTGTGCAATGCCCAAGGATGTCAGAAGAGGGTGTCAGATCCCTGGAACTGGAGTTACATATGGCTGATAGTTGCCATGTGGGTGCTGGGAATTGAACCTGGTCCTCTGAAAGAGCAGCCAGTGCTCTTAACCTCTGAGCCATCTCCCCAGCCCCCTTAAAGAAAAAACAGAGGTTAAGCCCCTTGCCTTTCATGGTTCTTATGGTTTCCTTTTAAACCCTAGAAAAGGGTTTCTGGAACTGGGATTGCCTAGACTACAAGACCTTGAGATCACTGGCTTCAAACCTAGGGAATTTCTATGCAGAAGATGGTGAACCTGAGTTGGGGAAGTATTTTAAATGAATGAAGAGGAACTTTCAGGATGCACTGATCACATGGGTAGCTGAAGGTCAAGACACTCCCCTAAGAAAATCAGACCACATCCATCTCCAGCAAGTGGAAGAGATATCTCTTCATTCTTTTAAGTATTCTTTTTAAACCAAGAGGTTCAGCCTCTTCCCTCTTAAGTCCCTCGCTGTTCAGTGGTTCTTATGTTTGATTTTGAATGCACACAGCAACATTCACCCTAGATAAGTGTGTGTGTGTATAACAGACTCCAACAACCCCAGCAGTCCTCAGAGGCTCATCCACAGACCTCGTGTCACCTAAGACTCCAGCTTAGCAGTTATTGTCCATCTGTTCTGGAAGTTGACATTGCAATCAGCCCATGTTATCCCCAACATATGAGTCTGTAACACACAGAAGGGATGTCTTAACCCTTTGCAGACTGGAAAGTATTATCTGTTCTTCTCTGGAGATGTGACTGTTTGTCAGTTTTCTCAATCAGTATGATATAGGCAGATATTGCAGTCACTTTTGAAGATCAGTGATCCTTTGATTTGATCCTTAATTTGGCATCTCATCCTCTGGGCGTCCATCTGTGGACCTGTCTTGAATCTTTGGCCAGTCAGCTTTAACATAATTCTTTCCCCTCAAATAAAACTTGAGGTATGTCCTGCTGATCTCTAAGACTGCATTTCCTCCATATGTATTTTCACTTATTTATTGTTGTATGTGTATGTGTGGGTCTGTGTGCAGGGATGCATGTGTGTGTATGCTCTTATGCATGTGTGTGTGGAGGCCAGAGAACAACCTTGGGTACTGTCCCTCAGGACCTCTTTGCCTTGCTTTGTGAGAGTCTCACTGGGGCCTTGGACTTGCCATTTAGGCTAGACTGGCCAGCCAGTGAGCTGCTGTCTCTGCCTCTTCAGCACTAGGAGAATGACATGGATTGCCATACCTGGCCTTTACATCGGTTCTAGGGATCAAATTCAGGTCCCCCTGCTTGTGTAGCAAGCACTTTACCAACTGAGCCATCTCCCCATCCCTAGGACTGCAGTCTTTAAACTTTGCTGGTTTCCTGCCTGACACCATCTGTCTCCACCAATCAGTTGAGGGCTGTCATCTGATCTTATCAAGCTTGTACGTGTGTGCAGATGCTCCCAGTGCACCACATCTGGTTAGAGGTTGCTCTCTCCATGCTATGAGCTCACCAGGGCTGAAGGGTGACACTTTTACCTTTAAGCCCCAGGGGCCAGTACAGGATTTGGCACACAGTATGTGATCAATATATTTTTGCTGAATGCGAACAAAATCATCATGATCTCATTCCTCATAAGCTCTGTTGTGATAAGTAGACATGAACAGACCGATCATGACAAGCAGGCTCTATCTTTTGGGTTAACTGTTTCACCCTTGTAAAACTTGTTTCAGTTTCTGTGCCCAAGGAATAATTAGGTCCACGTCAAAGATAAGCAAATCAGATAAGCTAGCCATCCAATCTCTTAATTTTATTGATTTTATTCTTAATTTTGTTGATTAATTTTATTGATTTTTTTCTTAATTTTTATTGATTTTATTGATAAGGAAAGATGCCAAGTGTAATTATGGCCAGTTGCTGACCTTCTGGTTAATCCAAGAGCAGCAGGAAAGTCCTTTCTAGGTAGAGCCTCATGCTTTAAGCTGCTGTTTAACCCTCTGTGTTCTGGCCCGGGCCTGTTTTCCCATTGCCTCTAAACTCTCCACTCTCTCTACTTCTGCCCCTTACTCCTCTAATGATATCAAGCTGTTTACGTACCTCAGGTCTTCTAGGTCCTGTTTCCTCATCAGGAGTGTCTATCCCCGGAATTCTATGTTGAAATGTTCCTTCTCTTTCCTGAACCTGCCCAGAGCCCAGTTTCCTGTACTATCCCCATATCCCAGCATGCCAGGCAAAGGGATCCCTCCTTATCCAGTACACCCACAGCACCGGTCATGTCTCATAAGGCCCTCAAAGTTGATTTTTACTAGGGATCAATAAAAAGAAATAGACATGTGCAATGAATTTTTGTTTCTTTTTGAGTTGATGATTTTTCAAGCTTGTGGTTTTGTAGATTTCCTTCTAACCACCTCTGTGTAGACATCTGCCTTTATAATTTATCCGTCTCATAGACTGTACCGAGTAGATCTGACACACAGGCTGGAAGGTATCCGTCAGACATCTTTCCAGCAAAACAAGATCAAAAGATCCAGATTCTTGGTGCACAGTGTTGAGCAATGAGGCCCTTCCTGTTGGAAAACAAACTGCATGAAAATACCAAATTTGTTTTTTCAGGCTTATCAATATTGTTGATAATGTTCACTCATCAGTGCTTAAGCCTGAGAAAACTCACCTCAGAGGCTGACTTGGGACGATGCTGAGTCTCTTTCAGCTCCCTGTGTTCCACATCAGCAGCTTCTCTCCTCTCTGAGTTCCTCTTCTGAGTCATCTAACAATTGTGAAATATCCTTCCATCAGTTTTCTTCTCTTTGAAAAACTTTGACTTCTATGTTCATTGAAAGGCAAATTGGGATGACTTTTGCACAGCTGAATCACCCTGCCAGGCAATTCCATTCTCATGTTTATTTTAGTCTGTCATTGGGAATGAGGCAAATGGTAATGAAAAATAATTTTGAGATATAATGAGCAATAAGAGATAAGAAAAAGATTACGAAGATCCTGTCATGGCTTTTAGATTTGTAAAATGTCCAGTGAACTCATATGGTAATTGAAAAATACAATGGATTTGATTCCATTTTAAAAATAAGTAAATCTCCCCCTTGTTCTTTAGAAACCTCTAAGAGAAGGGGAACTATGAAATACCTAAAAATAGATCAAATGACTCAATAGGGGGATTTAGAAGACTAAAATGGGTCCACAAGACCCAGTTAGTGGGCCTTGTTATGTGTGCATGGACATGATTTTTTAGAATATCTTTTATTTATTCTTTGCCAATTTCATAAATGTATAGAATATATCTTAGCCATATCCACCCCAGCTCCTCCTTCCCACTTCCCCCAGATACCCCCAATATGTCCTCCTCCCAACTTCTTGATCTCTCTCTCCTCTCTCTCTCTCTCTCTCTCTCTCTCTCTCTCTCTCTAACCCACTGAGTCCAACTAGTTCCACCTGCCTCCTCTCTCTCTCTCTCTCTCTCTCTCTCTCTCTCTCTCTCTCTCTCACCCACTGAGTCCAACTAGTTCCACCTGCTGGAGTGTTGACTGGACTTGCTGGCTTGATCCTATGCAGGTAACCACAGCTGCTGAGTTCATGGGTACAATGGCCATGTCATATCTGAAGATAGTGTTTCCCAGCACTCCTCCCCATCCTCCAGCTCTTACATTCTTTCTGCCCCTCTTCCTCGATGTTCTCTGAGCCTTGGGCAGAGATGGGGAGTTTGGATCCATTTCCCACTTAGGGGATATGGGTATTTTGGTGCACATCTGTGCAACTGAAGACCAAGAATATATTAAGAGCCACAACCTCCATGACTTCCTGGGGTTCCTCAGGCCTTTGAGGGTAAGATTAATAGAAGGAGCTTAGCAGATAATCACCAAATAGGTAGCAGGAGCATGAAGTGTGATTATTAATTAATTGGGGACTTTAATGATTAAAGCGGTGTCACATAGTATGCTTACATTTGTTTAAGGGCCTTGATCCATATGGGTCCTGGAGTACTGATCTTGCCTTTCTTCCTTTGAACTGGGCAACTGTCTTACATTGTTTCTACAAGGAAACCTTCCCTATCTCTGACCCCTCCTATCAAGTATCTGTTTATGGGATGTCCAGAACTCCCTCCCCTTCTTTCCTTCCACACCATCCCCTCTGTACTTAAAAGTGTCTTGAAATGCTAAGGTTGTCCTCTGTTCTCTCTGGGTATATGCACAGGCATACACACACATGTGCGCGCACACACACACACATGAATACACATACAAAAAAACTGAATAAAACACTTTCCAAGTAGGATGTTTATCTGAACTCTTTAGCCAGGTGTTGAACACATTAGATAAAGTAAAAGGCCAGGTGAAGAAAGTCAGGAAAGAGTTGTGTTCAGATTACCTGCTCCTTCCTACTGAAGACAGTGCACAGCCCCATTCAGGAGAAGGGTCCTCATCTCCCAACTTTGGTTTCCATGCAGGTGTCAGACGATATGTCAGGGACTGACGTCAGCAATGATGCTCAGCATTCCCTGACCAGCATGGACACCTCCGAGGAGAAGCTGAGAAACAGATTTTATGAATTAGCCATGAAAATGAGTGAAAAGGAGACTTCTTCAGGGGAGGACCAGGAGTCTGAGCCCAAGACAGAATCTGAGAACAAGAAGGAAAGTCTGTCTTCTGAAGAGAGCAGCCAGAGCGTCCAGGAGGAGCTGAAGAAGGTAAGGACCAGGAAACCCTGCAGACAGTTCCACTTTCTGCAGCTGAAATGTAGAGTGTGGGACTCTGTATTCTGCAGAGATGTCCTGGACTGCAAGAGCTTTCTCATCTACCTCTGTGTACTTGGGAGAACCCAAGAGAACCTTTCTCAGTCATTGCTGGGGAACATTTAGAGAAACAGCTTCACTGCCCTACGGAAATCTTCCAAGACATTTTGTCCCCTGCTGTCCTTCATGAAAGGGCTCCTTGTCTTTAGTCTTCAATTCCATGCCCCTCCCCTCTCTCCCACTGGTAAAAAGGTTGTTATTTCTCATTCACTGTCTGGGGACCTGTGCCCATGAGTTGGATTACACAGTCCATCCCTCTTTAAACAGTGAAGAGGCTTCAGTCCATGGTCCAGAGCTTCATGTTGAAGGTGGCTCTCTGGACTCTTCAGTTGTGCTGTTTTCAGATTCTGATCTGTTCACTTCAGCCTGAACACCTTTGCAAACCAGCTTTATATGAAACCCCCATGTTTCAGCCAGGTGAAGTCACTCCTGCTCTTCAGTCCTGCACACCTCCCCTTCCTTACTGGCCTCCCAAGCAGGCCTCTGAGTTCCAAAGGGCATACTTTGAAAAGCACACAGGATAAGTCAACCCCCAGCAGAAGGGGTCACAGTTGTTTTCACTCGGGGCTCTACCCACTGTGCCTGGTCTCCCTCTACAGCTTCTTAAGACCTGTTATACTGGATATACCTGCCTGCCTCCAGGGAAGGGGAAGAGAGTTGTTTAGTGTCTCCTTGGGACATTGTAGATAAGTAGGTAGATAGGTAGGCAGACAGATGATAAATAGATGGTAGATAGGTAGATGATAGATAATAAATTCTAGATTGATAGATAATGGATAAATAGATGATATATGGATGGATGATAGATAGGTGACTAGTAGATAAATAGTGGAAATATGATAGATATACTATAGATACATAATAAATGATAGATAGATAGATAGATAATCAATAGACAGATAGTTGATATAGATGGCTGGATAGATAGATGATAGACTCATTAAATAACCCTTTGAAATAGTTGCAGCTGATTTTGCAGATGAGAAACTGAGGGGGCCCCTCCCCCCTCACCAGCCTGCAGGGGTCACCTCCTCTGAGCACACCCACCTATCTGCAATATGCACTCCCAGGAAGATGTGTACAGGAAAGGAAAAGTTGATGGGGGAACATCATGGAGACTTGGACCAGCACCTACCCTGCCCCAATGTCCTCATGGAGCAGGAAATGATGAGAGTTAATTTGCTCAGACTCCCAAGTATGTCCACTTCTCTATTTCAAGTCCTGTCCCCGCCCTGTATGCCATAAGTCTGTGGATATGCACCAGGTACCAGTCCATGTAAAAATCAGCACAGTATACAACAAAAAAGAGGATATATTTTCCCCTATCAGGGTGTCCACTGGGAAGCAGAGGTACAGCAAACAGATGGAATACTGCCTGAGTAGAGCTGTATGCAGATGGGTCTCAGGGTGAGATTAAGTTTGAAAAACAACTGTGTGTTTTGCAAGCTAGACTCTGACTGTGCCTTAACTCACTGCAGTTGCTTAGAGGCACCCATTGTCCTTCCGTGCCTTCTCTGTCCCTCACACCCTCACCTGCTCCTTGTTGCTCTCGGCCCTGCTTGAACCCTCCAGCCATTTTCTCATTCAGCAGCCCAGCAGCCCTTCTAGCCCAGCTCTTGCCCTCAGCTTGTCAACAGGCCCATATCTGTCCCCTGTTTTATTTTGTGCTTGAGTCCTAGGACCCAGCCCAGGTTTTTATTGTTGATTGGATAAATACATCTTGCCTTATAAAATAGGGATACTGTCTTTCAGAGTTGCGAGGCTTGAGTAATGCACAGTAATCTAATGCACCTAATTTTCAGTGCATAGAAGGAGCCCAGCAAGTATTAATTAGCACATCCCCTTTACAAGTTCAGGGAAAGTAAGCTTCACTGTCATGATATAATGTCCATCTGCTGGTGCAGAGAACAATCAACACTTGGTCATCCAGACCCAGGTCCATGACCATCACTGGTGCTCCTTCACACTGCAGAATGTCAGTGGGGGATGCTGCATCAGAATGAACACCCAGTTCCCATATTCAGGAGCAAGGTAGCTATGAGGTCCCCCATGACCCAGCCACCACTAGTCTGAATAACATGGACACACAGATATGCACAGAAACACACAAAAAAGACATGCACACACACATACTAGTTGAGGAGTGGATCTGGGCTAATCTCAGCTATTCCAGAAGCTTCCAATGCCCTGCCCTCATCTCTTTACTAGAGCAGTACACACCGGTCTCAATTCCAGCTGCTCAAGAACTTTCTCGAATAGCTAGAGCCCTTTTTCCTGGGCAGAAGTTGATTTTGCCAGAGGAGCACCACTCCCTGTGACTCTGGGGTGGATTAATCTGGCTCCCTTACTTGCTGGTTGGGGTGGGTAGTGCTGAGGCATGAGCTTTCTACCTGCTACTCAAGCTCAAATCCTTCAGTAGACTATGGTAGGTACTCACAGTGATGAGCTGTTGTCAAGGTGACCTTGAGCAAGTCTCTTCCTGTCCCTCACTTACCTATCCCTGCCTCGACCATTAGTTTCTACAATCACCTCCCAAATTAACCACATGCATTCAAATTCTGGTTCCAGGGTTAGCTTCTGGAGGAGTTCAGATAATGCAGGAGTCCCCAGTCACAGACTCACTTCAGTGTCCTGGGCGAGCAGAGGAAATCCAAAGGCCAAGTCAGTTGCCAGTTGCTCTTACCTCAGAAGAGGAGCTTGTAGGTCTGAGGTGATGGTTCAGTCAGTAAAGCACTTTCTTTCTAAGCATGAGGGACCTGAGTTTGATCCCCAGAACCCATGTAAAAAAGCCAGGCATGGTATAATCCCAGCACTAGGAAGATGGAGACAGGAGGATTCCTGGGGCTCACTGGCCAGTCAGCATAGCCTACTCAATGAGCTCCAGGCCAGTGAGAAGCCCTGTCTCAAAAGTAGATGGATAGATGATAGATAGATGATCAATAGATAGATATAGTCAGATAGATAGATGATAGATAGATAGATAGATAGATAGATAGATAGATAGATGATAAATGATAGATAGAAGATAGATGGATGGATGGATGGATAGATGGATAGATGATAGATAGATGATAGATGATAGATAGATAGATAGATAGATGATAGATAGATGATGATAGATAGATAGAATTTTTATTGTGTCTTGAAAATCATACCCTTTACTGGATAGATTTCTTTTCTTTCTATGCAGTATATTGGAGTCTGTTCTAGTCATCAAAAGATTGGGATTTTGACAGGATTCATATCATAAATGATAGAGATAGATAGATAAATGATAGATAAGTGGTAGATAGATAGGGGATAGATAGATGATAGATTGATAGATGATAGATAGGTGATAGGTAGATAGATGATAGATAGAAGATAGGTAGATGATGATGATAGATAGAGAGATTATTGATAGATAGATGATAGATAGAAGTAGGTAGAAGATAGATAGATAGATGATAGATAGATAGATAGATAGATTAGATGATAGATTGATAGATAGATAGATAGATGATAGATAGATAGATAGATAGATAGATGATAGATAGAAGATAGATAGATAGATAGATAGCCAGCCTGAGGAATGACACCCAAAGTTGTTCTCAGGCTTCTACATGCATGTGCACACCTATGTATACATACTTGTACCCACAGGGCACCCCCCCCACACACATATATACACACAAAAAGAAGGTTGCCTTACACAAGGGTCTAAGATCAAGAGCCTTAGACTTCATGTGGCCTTGAACCTGCCACAGCTGTCCCAACTCTCTGGGAGCCAAATAAATGGGGTATTAGCAGTAGTTTGGTGACTATAATAAAACTTTCTCTCTAGAACTTGGGGTATCAGAGTTTTGTCCCAATAGCAGCAACCTCGCGTTAGAAGCAAGCTTTTTCTCACTTGGAATCACATCATGGAAGGAGGCAGATTTAGCCCTACAGTTGGATTAAAAGGCTCACTTTGGCTGAATGTTACTGGACCAACGATAACTCGAGACACTGCTGTCTCCATTTTAACTAGCTGAAGAACAAATTTAGAGTACCTGGATTCAGTCCAAAAGCCTTATGAGAACTAGTGGTCCAAAGGGCCATGTTTCTTCTTTAAGTGACAACTCTGTTCCCTCAGACCCCACTGGTCAGCCTCTCAAACTGTGGTCCTCAGAGCCAGGAAATGAGCACCTGCTTCTCCACCATTGAAAAGGGAGCCATCCTATAGTTCTAGAAGAAAGCCCTGGCTGAAGTGGTCCTTTAGAACATTTACCTCTAGGGTGTTACCCTCCTGAAAAGGTGATTTGAGGCAGAGCCAAGGGCTGACCTGAGTTTGAAGATGACATTTCAGTAGCCACATCTCTCATAAACACCCTCGTTTGCCCAGGACTGGAGAAGCTGCCCTCCAGAAGTCTGTGGTTCTGGATATATTGTGACATAGACACAGTATATCCAGACAGAGGCATTGTCTGATGTTTCCCAGTAGGAATATCTTTCACAATACTGCATCTTGAAGATCCACATTAGTATATTTGTATATCTAGTATCCTGAAGCATTTTTAAGGTGTCTTTGTTTATTTGTTGTTACAAATACCCGGGTTGTATTTTACTTTTATAAGGGAGTCACAGACCAGCAGATTTTTATATATATAGTGAAGTATTACAATTTCACTAATTTCTTTCTCCCTAAATAAGAATCTAATGTTGTCAGACATGTTGGTGCACACCTTCAAGCCCAGGACTTGGGGGTAGATGCAGGTGGATCTCTGTGAGTTCCAGTCCAGCTTGGTTGGCTCTAGGCCAGCCAGAGATAATGAATGAAACCCTGTCTTTAAAAAGGAAAGAAAGAGGGGGGGGGAAGAGGAAGGAGAAGAAAGAGGAAGAACAGGAGGAACAGGAGGAGGAGCAGAAGGAGGAAGAGGAAGAAGACCACCACCAGCAGCAGCAGCAACAGCAGCTAATGTCCACTGGCCGCTGCACATGGAACCAGAAACCTAGTCAGCCTTGGAGAAAGGATTGTCAATGATTGTCTGTGGGTTTCTCAGGTTTATATGCTAGTGATGAGTTTTTGTTGACATCCCATTTGACATTGTCAAATGTTGCTGTCCAACTGTGCCTTGCCCTTGTAAAGGGAATCACCATTCCCATTCATGTGAGGACACTTTGCCCTTCATCCCTGGTAGTGTTTTATTTCAGAAGAATGTCTTGTCTCCACCTGGATACCAGGGTGAACAGAGCATTAGCTATGGTGCAGCTTCGAAGACACACAGCTTTCCATGGGCCTCCCAGCTATTCAGGAATTAATGCCCCTCTTTTCTGACTTTCTGTTTAACTGCTGCCTAGGAAAACAGAGATGCTCTAGCCACTCACCTAGAGCTCCAGCTGTTATCCACAGTGCTTGAACAGGTGAGCTTTCCCTTCTCCCAGCACCACCCAGTCATCAGTGTGTCCCTCAGTGGGAGGGCAGAGGAACTGTTGGCCATGTGGGCAGAGTTCTGACTCTGTCTTGGATTACAAGGACTTCAGAATATCTTCCTCTTGAGGCAAAAGTAGATGGAGCACAAGAGATAGCTTTTCAGATCTCCAGTGCAGGCACACACCTTCAACCCTCTGTGGAAAGCAGGTGTCGTCTGAGAAACCAAGAAAAAGATGTCACCCCAGTCGCAGCAGGAGAAAGAGGCACAGGGCAGAGAAAGGCAGACTTGCTCTCGGAAGTAATGGATAGAAAGATCTGTATTTCAAGTCTCTGGGTCAGAACTTTTGCCCCACAGAAACCCAAAATTAAGACGTCCTAAAGAGGTAGGATCATGGGATGTAAGAAGGAAAGAAGGGAAGGATGACCATCCTGCATGAAACTCAGTAGGACTAGCAAGAGTCTACTTCCAGAAATGATTTCTGCGTAAAGAACGCAAAGCAAAAGAAGGAAAGAAATACGTGCGTGTGCACTTGTGTGCATGTGTGTGTGTGCGTGCATGCATGTATGCCAGTCTTGTCTACAAATCCCTCTGAAGTACGTTTTATCATGAGAATCGGGAAAGTCTATTGCTGTAATAAATCAGTTGTAAATGCTATTCTTTTTTAAAAAAATATTTTATTTATTATTTTTATTTTATGCATATAAATGCATTGCCTGCATGTATGTGAGTGCACCCGTGTCGTGCAATGCCATGGAGGTCAGAAGAGGGCTTCAGATTCCCCTGGAACTGGAGTTAAGGATGGTTCGTAGCCGCCATGTGGGTGCTGGGAATCAAACCTGGGTCCTCTGCAAGAGCAGTCAGTGCTCTTAACTGCTGAGCCATCTCTCCAGCCCCGTAAATGCTATTCTTAAAAGCATGTAATCAGGGCTGAAGAGATGGCTCAGCAGTTAAGAGCACTGCCTTCTCTTGCAGAGGGCCTGGGTTTGGTTCCCAGCACCCACATTGTGACTAACAACCATCCTTAACTCCAGGTAAGAAGGGGATCCAACACCTTCTTCTGGCCTCCATAGGCACTGCATATACTGGTACACTAACATACATGCAGGCAAAACATTTATATACATGAAATAAAAATAAATGCATTACGAAACCTTTTGAAGCACACAGTCATCTCAACTAGGACCAAAATGGCTATTGGAAACATTCAACACATAATTCCATTAACAAAGGAAGACTGACAGTGGGACAGAGTGACGGCCCTGTGGCCCGATGGAGAGTACCCATGCCAATGCTCTAGAAAAATCCTAGAGTCTAATTTTTCTGGATGGAAACTCATTTTAAAAATCAAAATCATTATTTACAATAATGCCTTATTGTCAGTCAAAGGAATATGGCCAACAGATGAAGTCATGAGTATTTAAAAAGCTAAGGAACCTGCTCGTATTCAAAAATAGTGAATATTTATGTCTTTAAGGTTGTTTCAAATGATAGGCTAATTTTAATTTTTAATTTAAAAAAATAGTGACAATTTCTAAAGAAGTCAATGGACAAAACTGGCTCTACAGGGATTAGAAAACCTGAATGATGGAATTGCAAAGGTAGTCAAAGAATTATTCTTCAAAGAGAAGCCAGTCCTGGACAGATCTGGCTTGTGCCTGTATCTCTAGTACTGAAGAGGCAGGAAGATCACCAAGAAGTAAAGGCCAGCCTGGGCACATAGTCAGTTCAAGGCTAGCCTGGGCTATGGAGTCAAAGATTGTCCCCCAAAACCCAATCAGACAACAAAAAGAGAAGAAAACAAAAGAATGCAGTTCCAAATGCTTCTGACCATGAAGTCCACAAAGCATTCATGGGACAGATTGCTCCATAGAATCTAACTGCCCTTGAACGGTGTTTAAAATCGAAAGCACCCAAGTTCATTTGATTGAAGTAAAACCTTGGTCTGAATCTGACATACACAAAAAAATTGCACTGCCCAAAACTTGCCTATGAACTCACTGGTCAGTAAACTTCAAGAATTCCCAACAGGACAGTAAATTGTAATTAAAATGGCTTATTAATAGGGATTTAACCTAGTAATGTAAGCACCTCAACTTTAGGAAATAAAGGGATGACAAGGTGGCTCAGTTGGTACAGTGCTTGCCCAACATATGTGAAGCTCAGGGTTCAATCCCCATGCCACATAAACCAGGTGTGGCAGCACACATCTGTCATCGTAGCACTCAGGAGGTAGAGGCAGAAGAATCACAAGTTCAAGGTCTGGGCTGGAGAGAGATGCTCAGTTGCTAAGAGCTGTGGCTGCTCTTGCAGAGGACCCAGGTTCAGTTCCCAGCACCCACATAGCAGTTAACAGCTATCCATAACTCCATTCCCAGCAGACCTGATGCCCTCTTCTTGCATCCACAGACTTTTCATGCATGTGGTACACTTAGATACGGGCAAAACACTCAAACACATAAAAATACAACTAAATAAAATATAAAAATTAATTTTACAAAAAGAAGTTCAGAGTCATCTTCAGATACATAGTGAGTTTGAAGCTAGCATGGGCTACATGAGACCCTATCTCAAAAAAATTTAGCAAATATATGAACATTTTGTGTTATATTTATAAGATAAAGGGAGGAAAATGATTATTTCATTAAATTCATAGTCAATATCTGACAAAGAGTAGGAAAGTTATAAATACCAAAGAAAAGATGAATTCTCAAAGAACAGCTTATAAAGTTGAGCAGCTATTTCTGATAAAATAACAAGATGCAAATTTGGCAGTGATGGCTGGAGGGCCGCTAGGAATGCTTGGGGATGCTGGGGATGCTGGGATCTGCTAGGGGCTGCTGGTGGTTCTGCAGATTGCTGAGATCTGCTGGGAGCTGCAGATTTCCTCTTGAACTTGACTTTCTCTCCATAAGTTTGAAGGATGCACTGATGGCCTGGAGCTAGAACCCCTCCAGCAGGCACATACCTACCCTGACAGTGTCATGCTTCCTCCAGCATGGCCACGCCTTCTAAGACCTCCCCAAACAGCACCTCCAACTGGGGACAAAATGTCCAAATACTTGGAGCCTATGGGGGACATTTTCATTCAAACCACCACATAACCCTCAGAAAATATAAGGAGGATCCTATTTTCATTAACAACAGAAGTGACTGTAGTGTGAACATACAACTCAGCATTTGACCCAGCAGCTTAACAGCCAGGGTCCTAAATATAGATGACAAAAAGAAAGGAAGATCTAAAGGGGGAAAGGGAGGGGGGACTAGAAGGGGAGAGGAAAGGAGGGGAGAGATGTTGTGTGAGACTTTCCCTAGTGAGAAACAGCACACATATCTACTCACACCAAAAAGGGAACTGCTGACAGACCAAAGTAATGAATCTACCTATGTCCAACTTGGTGAACCAGTGGGCTTTTATTTACTTAGAGAAGTAAGGGCGAGGGGTTGCTTACAGGAGCAGACAACTCAAAGGCAGCTGCATCACCAAAAAGCCCAGCCAGCGTGGAAGACCACTCACAGAAGCTGCAACCCCGGAGCTCTCTGCATGACTTGCAAGTAGCGCAACAGATTAGAGAATTTTCTCTCAGAGAGATGGCTCAGACACTTGTTGCCAAGCCTGATGACCTGAGTTCCATTCCTAGGACCCACGTAGTGGAAGGCAAGAACCGACTCACACAAGTTGTCCTCCAGCTTAGACACACACACATTCACTCACATGCTGTGGCAGGCATGCCCTTCCCGACACACATACACATCATACATACATATGCAGTAATAATAAGTAGATTATTTAAATTTTTAAGTATAAATTTAAATAATGACCCTTTTGCCTGACATGTTAAATGATGAAGAACAGCAGTAATCGATGCTGGTGAGAGTTCAGGAAAACCAGCAGTATAGCACACAGAATGACGACAACACATATTAACAGCTTGGTAACTTGGTACCCAAAGCAATCTAAGTGCGCATGTCATGAGCCCAGCGATTGTACTTTCAGTCACTTATCTTAAAGGAAGAACTGGACATGCATCCAAAGGTGAATTGCAGTGCAATGCAGATATTACATAACTGTTGGATACAACCTGGATGATAGAGGATTGTTAGGGATAGGGAAGCTGAGAACCACTGATAGGCAGATGTCACAGAGATGCAGGAATAGAAAAGACAGATGTGATTAAGGGAATAAAAGTGATATTGGGAAGTTGCAGTTTTGCTTTGTGCTGCATTCCTTTTTGCTGTCTCCTCTTTCTCTCCTCCTCCTCTTTTTCCTCTCTCTTCTCTCTCTCTCTCTCTCTCTCTCTCTCGTTGCAGTTTTGCTTTGTGCTGCATTCCTTTTTGCTGTCTCCTCTTTCTCTCCTCCTCCTCTTTTCTCACTCTTCTCTCTCTCTCTCTCTCTCTCTCTCTCAGCTAGAAAGCTGTCTTGTCTTCTAAAAGTGAAAGGACAAAAGAATTGATTTTCAGGCTTGTGGAGAGGGTTTATGGGGAAACCCCACAGTGTGGAGAGGTGGCCAGATCCCTGGGGCAGCACTGAATTCCTAGGTGAGAGGTAGTTAGATCCCTGGAGCAACTGTGAATATTTACCTGAAGTATGGACGCTGTGGAAGAAAAAAATATATTAAACTTAAACAAATGCAAAACAGCAAATCCATCCCATCCAAAGGAGAGGTCTATTCATGGCGGGCCTTTCACAAACCACGGTCCCCTTCATACAATTATCCAGTCAGGCCCAAGTGGCTCTGGGGTTTACATAGAACATCCCATTTCAGAGGTTTTTAATGTAGTCATGAATTTTCCATGAGCTAAAAATCACATATGAATCTCACACTGTCTTAGGAGGATGGAGGGGTAAAAGGGAAAGTAATTCCAACCATAATAAGAGCAAACAATGTGAAGTTAAGACTTAGCAAGAAAACCGCAGATCTTAAAAAAAAAATGGAGCAGTGTGCTGGAGAAAGGCAGCATAAAGATGACTTCTTCCAAAATTAGATTAGA